CTCGCGGATTTCTTCCCGCGCAACTCTAAGTCCTCGCGGGTGAGGCTTTAGCAGAAGGGCTAAGCGTGAAGGTGTAAAGATCGTCAACGAAGAAACCCCAGTGCTTGAGATATTTATGTCCAGGGGTTGAGAATTACTCTGGGGGTGATAACTATCCACCAACCCTAAGCTAAAGTCTAAGAAACCAGCACGAGACAACAGCAACGCTCTTTCTTGGTAGTTGATTTTAAAGGGACCCCTTCCCTGAAAGGGAGAAAGGGTGGAATCCCATGTTTAAGGAGTTGACTTCAAAGGGAACCTTCTTCACGAAAAGGGGAAACCGACAAATACCCCACAGGAGTTGGTGTTTGGATGTGGTTGGTTCGCTTGCAGCAGAAACGGAATCTATCCAGTTTGGGCCAAGAAGCCTTGGGGATCCGTCAGGTAGAATATTGGCAGAAGAGTCGGCAGATGGCCTTTTGTTTCCCTTGTCCAGGCGCCAACTCTCTATCCTTGTTTAGATGATCCACGTATTTGAGTTATCATGGACGCAGGCTGTAGGAATTTCTATTGGAAGTTGGCCGAACACCGTCAGACATGCTGACTAAGTATGAAGCAGAATCCGAAAAACGTTAATCTCGGTGTGCCGCTAGGTGCAAGCGTCAGCCATTCAAGCAGAATTATTTTCTTGCCAGAACCAAAACAACCACACATCAGCAAATACATCCCTCCACCGGGAGAGGCCCATCCGGATTGGTGGTTGTGCTTTGTTGGCTTCGGTGTCCAAGGGAAACCCACCCCCTAAAAGAACGGAAGGTGTTAGAAGGGGAATGGGTCGCTGTGCAGGGATGGACAGAACCCCTCCCCCCTTTGAACACCTGCTATTGACACAGGTTCTTTTAGTTTCCTGGTTGCCCTTGACAAGTGATCATGGTCTGGGTGTTCAAATAAAAATGCAATCAACCCTGGGTAGAACTACTTCCTGCAACCTGCACCTCCATCTGTGCCATTCGACGCGATTCTTGGCCCAACCAGGGTACACCAGAAAATACTATCTTCAGATTCAGTTTCATATCTGTGAGAATATACGTATATATATATATATGCTACCCCCCCCCCAGGTACCCAGGTTTGGGCTTGGTTCAGATGTGCTTTGACCGCGGAAGCAGGCAGGAAGAACAGCTCAGATTTGCACACTGGGAGACCAGAGGAAGGAGGTTTGCCTCATTGAAGAAAGACGCCTTGGACGTGACCCATGCCCTTTTTCAATGGCTCTTCCACACAAAATTCAATTCACATATCTTCCCACACAAACCATGCCTTCTTTCAAAGGCTCTTCCACAAATAACTCACATATCTTCCCACACACAAACCATGCCTTGATTCAAAGACTCTTCCACAGAAAATTCACACATCCCCTCACCCAACACATGTCTTTTTACATGTCTTCTTTCAATGAAACAAAGGCAGCATATGTGAAAGAGTTGCCAAGGAAAGTGAACCCTGTGTAGAATAAAGCCAGGCTATGGCTGGGACAGTTTGTGTTTCATAAATGGTGGTTTTACATGATATTTACTATATTTTGCTGTACTTTTATGAATCACTGTAACCCTGACTCTTCCACAAAGACTCACATATCATCTCACACAAAACATGTCTTTTTCAATAACTCTTCTCTACAGAAAATTCACATATCCTCTCACCCAGAACATGCCTTCTTTCACAAAGGTTCACATATATTCTCATCATGCTCCGCATGTTGCGCAACATTTTGAATTTGTTGCGCAACATTTCCCTGGACCAAGAAACCAACAAACCAAAAAGCCAAAGAATCCCAGCCATGGTGGGGGCTAGGATTGGTTTTTTGGTTTTGTTTTTTTTGTTTTTTGGTTTTTTGGTTTTTTGTTTTTTTTGTTTTTTGTTTTTTTTGGTCCACAAAATGGCCTTGCAGAAAATGCATGAGTTCAATCAACATACACTGTAAATATCAATGGTTTTGATACATGATGCAACAACACCTGGGTACTGGGGGGGGGGGTACCATATATATATAAATTATAGACATAAGAAGCAAATAAACCAATAAACACCCCAGACTCGGTCCAGAAGTTAAAAGTCCAGGAACGGTTTGGCGTAAGGTTTGTCAAAGTCAGAATCTGGGGTTCCCTTGAGCCAACCAGGCATGTGACTTCGTTGGTAGACTGATGGTTCATGAAGACCGCTTTGATTGGGTTGCAGCCCCCTTCTTGGCTCAACCCCAGGGTACTGCGAAAAACATCCTTGCAGATGCTTCTTCATGTTCAGTCCGGGGGCTTTATTTTGTTTCGCTCAAACCCGGAAGGATCCATTTTCAAAAGGCCTGCATCCCGCGCATTGTGCGCCGGCAGTCCAGCTACCTTCGCAGGGAAATGCGACACCTTCCTATGAGCATTTCCTAGAGCGGGTCCCTTAAGGGATATATTAGGAATACGGCGATTCTACAGCAGTGCCTAAGCAGGGGCGACATTGGTGCATTTGGAGGATCAATTGATACATTGTTGTTGAAATGAAACACTTGTCAACTTTGGGAGCTGATTTGAGAATCCCGCTGCAACTCAGGTGGTGTTCGGGCGTACCCTTTGAGGAACCTTTTAAAGGGTGTCCAAGAAGCACTTAACCAAGCACGGGGAACCGCTTTTTTTGCGACTAAATGGTGTCCAAGACATGGATACCTAAAAGCAACATGGAAACTCGTGTTGTTTTTCTGGGTGGGTTGAACATCCAAGCAGGGCACGCACACACACACACACACAAACACACAATGGTTCATCGCTCAAAAGCTTTGCCTTTCTCAGTGCTTCCCGTTATACCATGCAATCCGGAAGCCTGACACTGGTTACCTGTTTGTTTCCTTTTCCAAGGAGGTCCAAGACCCCAAATTTCTCGCGGGAAATTTTGGCTCTTGCGATCCTAGGTATTAATCTAAACCGATTTAGATCCGTATACAGGATCCCGCAATCTTCTAAAGAATAATTCTATGTCCATTCTCTTCACCCATGACTTCTCTTCCACAACCATACCAACAACTACTACTGTACCTTTGGTTCCGGTAGCCATTTTTCCGAAGTTGCTCTGGAGAGAATGGAGAAGGCACAGCCAGAAATTCCAAGCACATTTCACAACTGAAGGGAGTCACAATCAAACCTTGCTACTTATTAAAGACTAGATGGGTCTACCCAAAACTATGCAACAAATCTAAGGGCGGATATCATTACTACCCTTTTGCTACCCAGGATGTGATGGCTCAGGGGAAGTTCGAGATATCCCTGGCAGGTAACGCACCTTTGCTTCCGCAACAGCGACAGGGTCGAAAAGGCCAATCATTCGTTCTGCTGGGCTGAGAAAAGAGGCTTACCCGGGAGAGCTGTAGGCCACTGAAACAGAGCAGGCAGGTGGTACATGATGTGTTTTCCACCCCCGCCCCATTTGGATGCTCACACGTATTCAAAAACCTCCGTCGGTCATAACCATGATATCAACCAACCCCTATGGCCTACTCAATTACTAAGCGTTCGAAGGACAGGAACACTAACGCCTCGCGGAAAGGGGGCCATCCCTATTTAACCTCAATAAGGCCGAACAAGGGCTTGTTCTCGTGGCTTATCCTAGTCTTCTCCAGGGATAGCCGCACCCCTCAAAAAACCCAAAAACAAATTTGAACTTTTGAATCCTTGGCTTTGAATGGAACACAGGGACCAAGACAAACCAAAAGGTCTTGCTTCGCTCTTTTTGCTTTGGTTGCTGGCGAGGAGCTTATGCACCACTACTCATTTTTGCTGTGGCCAACCAACTGAGACCAGCCAGTTCTAGCCCCATGGCTTGTTTGGCCGTTCGCATCCTGGAGGAACCACATTCTCCTAGGCAAGGTTCGGAAGAACACCTGCTTGCTCTGATCGAAGGGCTTGGCTTGAACCTTTCTGGGGTGTTTGGGGTTGGCCTGGGGGCTCCACTACACTGAGCATATTTTCAGATTCGATTTCATATTGAGCCAACCTCAAAATATTTCCAACAAGGAGAACCCCAAGCGCTGCTTCTGAGCTGCTCATGTCGCCATTCGCTTTTCCTGGTTTCTAGACAAAGGCTGCACCCAACTCCACAATTGTCTTGCATTTCACTTCTCCTCCTCTCACTTTCTCAGCAACATGCGAGGACCTTATGCTCATTTCGCGCTTCACAATCACTTGCAGGTATTTCGCCTCATTCATCCCCACAGCAAGCGCACCTCGCAGCTTCTCTTTCTCATTTGGAATCTCTGAAGCTGCTGATGTTGTCTCCAGTCTTGCAACCATAGCCCCATCAACTCACTTTATCGGTGGCCTTCACATTGTCTCTGGCCTACATCCCAATTGCCTTCTGGCTGGCAAACCTCCTGCTCCTCCCAGCCCCTTCATATAGGAGTAAGGCTCGTCCGGTGTCACTGACTTCTACCCTGTCGGCTTGCCGAGTCGCCTGAGGCGCCGATGGCTTGGCTTTGGCCACCTTCTTCGCCTGGCGAACGGTGTCGAGAGCACTATTGGGCGGCTTTGAGCCCTTTGGTGGGGCAAGGTAAGCCAACTAACCAAAGGGCACCAGGCAAAGTTGCCTTTCCAAGCCCCCTCTAAAGCGCTCTTCGAGTCCTTGTGGGGGGTTGTCTGCAAGTCGTAACCTGCCGCATTACAAATCAACAGAACCAAGCTGGGTCAAACGTGTGCTTCCAAAAACTGGCGTCTTAACTTGGCCAACCCCCTTGTTTGGTTTGTTGAGGAAAGAAAACAAAAGTGATTCACCGAAATTGACCCAGGCATTTTGCAGCATGCTGTGCATCCCACGCAGCACCGGGAAGGAGCCTAGCCCACACATGCCAACAACCAAATAATAGGGTTGATCTTTCTCCCTGGCAGAAAAATGAAGGGAGTCACGAAAAGATGGTTTCCACGCTTCCATTCACAAAAAGGAGTTGACAAGTAAACCTGCAAAGCAACATATCTCCCGTTGTCATGGGATTGCAAGTCCTAAAAGCTTCCATTAAGAGTCTTCAAGAGTTCAATAAAGCCTCAGGGCTTCGGGGAAGAGGGGGATGAGTGGATGGATCATCTGACCACGGACTTCCCAGCGACCCCCTTGGTGCCCACGCTCCGGGCTGCTGAAGGATTGCGCGCACGGAGAGCGGCCGCTTGCGTTCCATGGGCAGGCTCTCACTCCCCGATTTGTTTTTTGCGATCCCAAAAAGTGAAGTCCAGGAACTCAGGGAGTGAGTGACAGGTGTGTGCACATATGTTTGTGGGCCCCCGGAACGAGCACCCAACAAGGCCCTACAAGTCCCTACTGGGATTGGGGGCCCCTTTTGCAGGGCCCGTAACAAACAAATAATTCATATACTTTCGTAGTACGCATTCACACCCACATATAATTGTGCACATGTTATATATACACATACGTAATTACCCCTCATGAATCCACATCCTGTGCAGGAATCGTCAATGCATTGCAGGCGTCAAGACATATATGTACATATGAATAAATAAATAAATATATATATATATACATATATATATATATAGATATATTCATGAATTGTGCACACGCAACAATCTACAACTACACATTGAACAACTTATTTAACAGCAGAACATGTGTGTGTGTGCATGCCTGTGTAGGCCTGCTGGCCTGGCACGCTGACTTGTTGCAATGTTGCATCACTCAACAAAGCAGCAGCGGCCTTTGGTATACAACACCCTAGCATTTCTCTTGGATGCACAATATAAGTCAGGGACTCGGGCCGTTTTCGCAGATGCAGTGTCATGCTTGCTTAAGCAACATGGACCCTTGGTGCAGGGCTCCCGCCAAAAATAGACCAATGCTGGAACCAAAGGGTTGAAAGGTCGGTTTGGCGCAAGTGACTGCCCGGTTCTGCTACGCAGCCAAATGATTGTTTTGGCCAGCGCAAAAGGACGGCAGGCCAAGGCTAGGCTGAACGGATCGGGGCGGAGTATCGATCAGATCGACTCAGGGCGAAGGAAACCAAACCTCTGAACTTTTACCCACACAATCTGGGCAAAATATGCCAATTCACCTGCCTGCCTGCTCCGGGAACCTCCTCATGAAAGGAAACGGATCAGGGGTCTTCGATCGCAAATCATTGCCGCTAGGTCGATTGCTTGAATGTCCCTAGCAAAATGAGAGAGTGGCACTATGAGAAGATCCCGGAAACCTCTTTGGTCGATGTGGGCTATTTCTCAGGCCATCGAAGCACCCTACACATGCTGGGATACGGAACGCGCAACTACTCCAGGAGGTCTGACTGCTCTTTTTCAAACAACAATGTAGAAAATACCCACAGGGCTTGACCTTCTTCCCAAACTTCTCTAAAATTCGCATTTTCCGAACATCGGTGCCATACACGCTGAGCTGCTAGGCAGAGTCTGCTAGTGAAACCGGTCATAGTTTCTGACCCTTGACCATGTCAAGTAAGTGACGATGATTTCTCGTCTATCGCGCTAGTGCGGGCGCTCAGTGGTAGAACTGATACTCCTTGAAGTCGCAAGGCCTCGATTCGGCAGCATGAACAGTCACGAATTCCCGGGAAGGAATGCACCCAAATCATCCCACCATGTGGGAAACTGCAAGAACGGCTTGCAACTACTCTTGGAGGACCCCTTTATCGGGTTCCAGGTAAATTTGCAGGGGAGTACGGTTGCAATAATCTTCCGACCGCCAATCTATTGCGTTGGGCCTGTAAACCAAACCAAAACAGAGGTCAAAACTCAGGTTGGGGTTGAACATATTGGGTGTGTTCCAAAATGTCTATTCATACGGAAAGGATGTCCAACACATCCACCCCCTCTACCCGCACCCATCTGTACCCATTTCCAAACATGTTCTAAACGGTAAAGGGATCCTGTGTTGGATGCTGTTCTAGGAAGCCAAAAGGAAACGGCTGCCATTGTCAGAGTCACCAGATCCTGATCCAGTCTTACCACTCACATCGAGATCATGAGGGTTCTCAGTCGCGAAGGCCTTTCTCAGAGGCACCGTTTGAACATCAAAAGTACTCACACCAGCGGCCTCGGATGAGCCAAGAGGACTGCATCAAAGGAGGACTATACTAATGAGGACTGTCGGCATTGAACAACTACTTTATTTGGGTCTGTCGTTCTTTGATGGTTCCTTTTTGAGGTTGGTTCGCATGGAAAGCGCTCATTTCAGAAAGTTCTGCTAAAAACGAATTAACCCGAAGTTAACATGAACTCCGCCGGAAGTAAAACTTGTTCTCATGGAACCAGGATGATCAGTGAGCCTCCTGGTTCTTGCGGGACATTTCGGATGGTTGTCACCCCTTAACGACCCTGGCGCAAAAAGAACAATCTTTGTAGGGGTTGATTCAACTTTCAGTGGGTCCTGAGCCCGCAATTTGAGGATGCCTCTGACAAGTGGGCAAGCCACCAAGCCACCGCGATTGCTCTTTGGTGTGGAACTTGATTCTGCCCCAAGAACCACAGATTCAGTGGGAGGACTTGAGCAGGAACCTGAAAGGGGGGAGATCAGCGCCGTTAGATTTAAAGGGACCTGAAGCAGGGGGCTCCGGGTTTTTTGCCCTCGGTGCCCGAAGAATCGAAGAATATTTGGGTTATGACTTCTTGCTGGAACGCGCGGCGCGGATCTTGTTTCGGAGGTATGTAGCGGGGTCCTTATTGCGCAGGTATGTACCAGGAAAAGCGTGCTGGACACTTGCGCAAGCGCAGCACGCAAAGCACGCCTTCGCAGCTCCAGCTCGGAAGCTGCAACTGTTTGGTGCAAGCCGGGTAGCGGCAAAACGGGTCGCTGGATGCGGGCTGGGGTTGGGTATGTAACGAGGTATGTAGCGACTATGGAGCGAGGTATGTAACGAAGTATAGCACAGAAAGAGGATTACTACGTGCTCCTCCCTGCCAGCTGTTCCATTTTTTCCTTTTTAAAGGTAAGCTCTCTGCAAATTGACTCTGCGCGGCTATGTCCAGCAAATGCACTGCAATACTCTCCTCTGCAGGCAGCCTTGTGAAGTCACTCGGAGTCTCGCTATGCGCAGCATGCAACCAACCAGGCGGTCTTGTGAATGTGAGGTATGTAGCAAAGGTTTGTAACGAGGGGGTATGCAACGAGCCAGCACGTCTTGTTACATAGGGCATTCTGGCGAACGTCCGCCAGGGCTCTGCTACCAATTTCTTGAACAAATTACTGTCATTTGGATTTCAACCCCCCTTTCACTTGTCCATTGGGATCTTAATGAGTTTCAGTTCCCTTGATGCCCTTCGGACAGAGTAGCTTCAACCCCGTCTCTTCGTCAGAAAAATAACTCCAAATTCCGGGTCCGAGCAAGGCGCACATCCGCCAGGATGGGGCTGGTCGGGTACTTCTTCTGGAAGGTATCTTTCAGCCGCTGCACGCCTTGATCGAAGATTTGCGACGCAAACCTGGCCCAACCAACCAGGTACGCCAACCATAAAATTTCAGATTCTGTTTCATATTCAGTCAACCTTAAAACATAACAACATATCGGACGAGACCCCAGACAAAATGAACTTAAATAGACGTGTTCCTCGTCGAGCGAGCTTGAAAGGGTATGGTCTCCGGCAAAGCTACCAAGCAAGCTGCCAGGCGGTTCCCGGCTTGCGTTCTATACGGTCCTACATAACTGGAATGTGATTGCAGGGCCTCTAAAACCAAGTTCAGGCACGACCGTGGAAGAACATTCCGCGCAATTATATAGCATTATGCCGTCGGAACATGCTGAATTTCTGAGCGGCGAATTCGTGGCCGGGCAACCATGTGATCCCTGTGTCCAGTTCTGGCCTGGCAACGTGGAAGGATCAAGACTGTCTTGAGAGCGTTTGATCAAAGGCTGGATGACAATAATTCATCCCTGCCATGAACACCGGGTTACCGGATTAAGCAACATACTCACTTCTTGACTGTAGATTGACCAGTACAAGTTCTTTTTTTGTTTTTTTACAACAACAAATATCATCCGCAAAGTATCGAAGTCCAGCATCTGGGGAAATGAGCGCATGATCATAGAGGCACCCACTTTTTGCCCAAAATGGCCAAGAGGTTCGTTTGCAGCGCATACATTTGGCCTAGGCGATTCAGTTCACAAATCGGCCAGTTGGGCGAGCGAGTTGAAGCGAGACAGCACCAAGCTATGCCAAGTCTGTGCGAGGCGATACAACTGGGGTTCCTTATTTAAAGCAAACACTTTGAAGGGTTCTCAAAGTTTCCTCTGGAAGTTGTTTCCCTTTAAACCACACTATGTACAGCGTATTTTTGAGGGTGTCACTTTAATGGACCCAGTCCAAACCTTTGCGACATGATAATGATAATGCCGAAAAAGCGTCCCGGCTACGCCGCAAAGTGTGTTTGGAATGATAGAACTCCAAAGAACATCCCACCAAATTCTTGCCCACATCATACTGAAACTTCCCTGCGGCGGCATTGAGATTTCCCAAACTTCCATTGAAGATGTCACAATGTATAAATGTCACAATATATACATATATATATATATATAATAATATACATATACAAACACTACATGTATTTACCTGACATGAGCACACCCAACACCAACAGGACAAATCCCAGGCGCAAATCATCTGAAGTGGCTAATACCAGCGATCCGTCGGTTTATAACATGGTCATCCATGTCCTGCTCCGAAACAGCCAGTGAAAGTCAACTGGAAGCAACACCACTCCCACTTCCCCAGAGCGGGGTGTCCATTTTGGTGTTGTTCATTTTTAGTGGGCCCCAAACCCACCAAACAAAAAGGGGGAAAACGGGTGCCACTGAACCCCCCTCCCCTCGAAGCCACGAGCAGCCACCAAGGCACGCATTTGGTTGTAGTGCTCATTGTGCTTGTCATTCCAGAAGCTCTGGGCGCGGATCAGAGGTAATATTTCTCCCTTTGAACCCTACGAAGGTTTTAAGAACCCTTGCGGGGTGGAGGACCACTGTTCCTTGTCTGCAATTGAAAGAAACCCAACGTTAAACCACCCACTTTTTGGGCTTGCGCACGCCTTTTGGGACCTCCCGATGCTTTCCCCACAAAGGAGATCCATTCAAAACCCCCCCAGGAAAGATAGCCAGAAAACACGAATTCTTCAAAGCATGGTTGAGGCTGCTCCGAATGAGGCTTGGGAACCACATGAATTGGACAGTCCAGGACTCCCAGCTTGAGGCTTGCTGCACAACTCCCCTCGGTCCCTCTGACGCCGCCAATTGGCCCGACCTTCATGCGACCCGGTTGATGTTCTGCGAGAGTTGGCGAATCCACTCCCAAAGGCCCCAAGCTACCCGGATGGGCGTGCGTTTAGCCCATGTAAACCTGACTCCAAACAAAACACGCGGGCCAGAAGACGAGCCTTGATATTGCAACCTGGCCTGGCCGCGTGATCTGGTGTCCGATCCATGGAAACAAGGATTCCCTAGTACGCAAATACCTCACCAGTCACCTTCTGACTTCATTTCGCATGATCGAACATGGGCTTTGTCTCCCAGGCCGTGACCCGCAGCCCGGGGCTTGAATGTTGGGGACATGGAGCTGGAATCCACAATTGCCGCCTCGTTTGACATCAATCTAGCATCCTGTATACGGCAACCTACTAGGCCCAGGACACTCACCACATAACTTAGCCACCAAAAAGGAAGTGCCTAAACTAACCCCAAAGGCGAATTGTGACAATGCAGTGCAAGCACTTAACTAACCAGAAGGGGAACTCCAATGTTTTAAGGGGACGGGGACATATATTGGGACCGCCTCCGAGCGAGCGATGCCAAAACCTTGAAGCGCCGAGAGGCCATGCCCGCGCCCTTGTCGCAGAGCCAAGGCTGCTGCCGGCACATCTGGGCGCCAGTGCCCAGACCCGGGATGTACCTTCGACTCGATGGTCATGGCTCGTTTTCTGGAGTTGGTACATCTTGGTGCCCGTTTTGAGGTTGGCTTGGGAAACCTCAAGGACACCACCATTTTGGGGGAGGTAAGAAATAATCTAGATCTGGTAAACTTCTGGTAAGGAGGTCAACCCAGATCAAAAGGCGGTTCTGGCCGCACCTATTTATGGACTGTACCCAACCTTCAACTACCTGGGTTTTTTAATTGTGGCTCAGGTAGTATGAGTTTAACGTCGGTTTCCCTTTGATGGACACTCGTTAGGGGGTACTTAGATGGCCCCGGGAGCTAGCTAAGCAGTGGGCGCTAATCCCATAGTAACGTGAGGGAAACCAAAACTGTCGCCAGAGGTACTCCTTGCCGCCGTTCTTGAGGAAGGAAGCGTAGTCCTTGATGCCGACCACTTCCTCACGAATGGATTCCCAGGGTTTAGAGTTGATAGGTTGGTTTGGTTGAGAAAAGCTGGGTTTGTTTGAGAGCTGGTGAGGGGCTACGTGGTTGCGCTGGTGGCTCAGGGTTGTTCCAGAGATGGTCTAGGACCCTAGGATGGGGTGAAGGTTAGGCTTGGGCTTGCTGGAACAATCACTTCAAGGGCTGGCAACAAGGATTCACCTTACAGCGCTCCTTTGGTTTCTCCCTCAAGAATCACCACGCCAAGAGGACACTCAACTAAAAGCGTCCCACAACGTGATGCTTAAACAGGCGGAACAGTGCCTTTGTGCTTCGCTGACCTCTTGCTAAAGCTAACCTTTTGGTGGTGTATGTCAGAAAGCCCTCCAAACGCAAAACATCTACAATGAAATTCTATGGTGGGAAGCGCCAAGTGTTTTGATGCTGGAAAGCAACGGGGCTGCCTCAGTTACATAGTGAAATTATGAATGTTGTTCTAAGAGGACATGGGACATTTATTGTTGGGCTCGTCCCTTTTTGAGGAAATTTGGAGGAGCCATTCCAAATGGACCAAGGCACAAGCGGGGTATCAAAATAGGGGGAGCCTTATAAGTCGTCCTCTTGGTCACACTTTCCAAGGCAAGGGTTGCTCCTGTCGGCGGAAGGGTTTTTGGAAATTGGAGCTTCTCAAAATTGTGGAACGACCCCTTTGGCTGGTTACAGGAGGAAAGGGAAAGGGGACCAATTCCCACTTTGAGAACCCGCAAAGCATGTTTTGGTCATCTTTGAATGCCCAGAGCATCCCGGAAGGGGTCCAAAGGTAAAATCCTTCGGTCAAACTTCCCTAGCGTTCCATGTGTTTGATTATCCTAGACTGAAACACAGTGATTGATTTCGCCAAACGCACCCTTTTCTAAGCCTGTGTTGGGTTAACAACAAATGGAGGCTTGCCCCTAGCTAATTCCAGCTGCAAGTCCCTGCGTAACGCAACCAAGAGCCACTTTTGCCAAGGTACAATAAGCGTTCGTGAATGCGCGTGCTATTTGTCCCAGTTGCTGCATAGCGGAAAAGTGGAGCTCATGTTTAGTGGGGTACCTGCAACACAAAAAGGGACAAAGGTTGCCACCGAAACTGGGCAGTGCTTTGTCGATGTGGCAAATATGTAGGGCAGCCATCCCAATTTTCTAGGCAAGCAGCGAAATCGGCTAAATGACTGATTTTTGAAAGAACGATGCTTTGAATAAAATGCAGGCTGCCAGTGGCAACGACTAGCTGTCTGCATCAGAGACCAATGGCATTTGCGTGACAAAGTGCGGGCGTCTAATCCACCCCCGCCGCCAATTTGCATGTTCTTCTTCTCAGGCTGGGGTAGTACAATGCTTGGCAAAAAGGCTGTGCAGGAGTGATGAACACTCCAACAGGTTATGACACCGTGACAAGGGCTTGCAGTGCGAATCTCCGAAGGGTTCAAGCCCAAGTACAGCATGTCAAATGTCTGGGCCCTCTACGCTGGCCTCCGAAAGCGGGGATGATAGGATCTGCTCCCATTTAGTAAATGGTCAAGTAGAATGCAGCTCATCCCAGAAAACATGAAAACCGTGACCCTTCCTATTTAATGGCACCTGGCCCAAAAAAGAAAGTTTCAACCTTCGACTTCTCAGCTTTTAAACCACAGTGGGTCGTGTACATGATTGATGGAGCATGGGCAGGATCTTGAGTGGAAATGTCGCTTCATGCATGGCGTGGACGAAACGGGCTGTTCTTTTAGCATGGCATGCGCTTTCGACATAGATCACCTGACAGCTGCGCCGAGTTGCGTCGACTGAGACTTCTCCTGCTGGTTCATACTGATAAGTACCTTGCGCATTGTGAAATTGCCCCTGAAAATGCTTCCTGAAACACATGAGTGGTGGTGTTCACCCTTATTCCAAAGTAAATGGATGTATGATCCCTTCCGCGAAACCACCAAGCTACCGTCAAATGCTGCTTCATGGTTTGGTAGAACAAGGTTGGATTCACCAGCCGTTGATCCTGTGCTAAAGCTGGGGACCCAGGATGCAAAAATCACGCTCCCCACCCTCCCCACACCCCCACTCCCCCGAAAAATAACAATTAAACAAAAAGAATAAGGCCTTAAGGCCTCATTTGAAGGAAACCAGGGTTGCGGGAGAGGGGTGGGGAGGTTTGAGGAAGCGGGGGCGTTTAGAGCTGTAATAATCAGTTCGTCGCGCAAGCCACCTGGGGTGGATTCTCCACTCGTTTTGGCAAATCTGCTACAACTCCGACACCTGAAAAAAGGATTGGATCCCGAAGTGCAGAAACTGCATGGTTTCGCTTGCAAACGCCCCCGGTTCGGTGAGCTCGATTCAAGCAGAACAGATCCTACCGAGAAGTGAATTCGCCCAAATTGGACTGGGAAATAAACGGTGAATGTAGCTAACCTTGAACCCCAAATTGGAGTGGGAGCCCTTTGGATTGCTGTGGCTTGGCCCCCCCAAGCACATTTTCAGTCACCACAATTGTGCTTGGACCGTTCTAGTATTCGTTGATCCAAATCGTAATCAGCATGCACAGTGGGCGGGGGCAGGGTCAAAGGTGGAAGAAGCGGTTTGGAAGACGGTCGGTCCTCTTAAAGCCTTTTTCTTGGGGTGTGTCTTTGCGTAGGGTACCCCACTGGGCGGGGAGGGAATAAGACCAAAGGGAAACCATGATTTTTGTGGGTTTCACCATTTTGACACATTCCCATTTCCAGCAGGTTGGAACAAGGCACCCTTTGATCCCTTTGAAGCCAGAACCATGAACATGGAAAAAGCAAGAGGGCAAGTTGACGACAGCTACGTGTCATAACGAAGGAAGCGCTTTGTGGAGACGGTTTGCCCCCTTGCCATCGGTGCTCTCAATGAACGGCCACAAAGGGATGATCGGCCTCTTTGGAGTCATAGAGTCATAATCAAAACCTACAGTTGAAGGATCTACCCAAACACATGGTGAAAAATAGGGCGGGGCTCCTCTACTTATGGCAAGAGAACATCCCTTGCCCTTCATCTACCCGGGCTTTGATTTCTGGATGTAACATTCAGTCAACGTATGGTCAATTTGGGGGGTTTTCAACATGGCCTCGCTAAATTTCAACCACAAACTCTCGTATCTTCTAATCCCCCCCCCCCCGCGCATAAGAACTGCATCATTTGAGCACTGTGATGCAAGCAGAAGTCTGTTGGTTGCAACCCATCCACACGGGTCCCGCGAGACTTGCTTCGACGCACAGGCGTGTCCTGAAACAGAAACCCTACACCACCCAAAAGGAGGGGTTTGCCATTCTGATTTGTGCGTCTTTGCCCCTGCAGCAAGTGAGACATGTCGCTGCTTAGTGGGATTGAACAGCAACTCGTCTTCCCGAAAAGTTGCTAAAGGCCAGCCAAGTGAGATAGTACCCCTAAAGATCCCCCTCCCCCCAAAGGAAGAACACAGGGATGATAAGCACCTGATTCGGGTGGGACGCATCCTCAATAAACCTGCTTGCTCTCTTTCCCTGAGGAAAAAAGGCACACCATTTTTGGTCGTTACCCTCCCATCCACCACATGAAACCAGAGCTGGTGGGTTCCATGGCAACGTGGGAAGTTTCAGAGGGAAAGTCCTGAAAAATGCACTGTCGAGACATACGCCGTGCCGGGTTACAGTCACCCCGACCGCTGGGCGATCCCGGACAGGCGCCGCCCGGTTTGGACTGGACACACCTCAAAGCTGGTGGATGTTCCATGAGACCGGCGGAACGGTGGTGTTCAACGCAATAAAGCAAGTGAGCCAAAATAAAGTGGGCACCAGAGAAGTGTAGTTCTCCACATTTGAGCCACGGTGTAAAGTACGTGTTTCCGCAAGAGGATATGGGAAATTCAGAGCATTCCCCATGTCCCACCCAAATGGAGCATAGCTTACTGGATATATCGACCGAACCTCATTTGGAGCTACCGTGACTTCCCTAGTGCTGCAAGTGGACCAGCTACATCCAAGCACGAAAGCCTGGTGAATATTCCCCTAGTTGCAAACAACATTTAGGGCATCCGTGGACATGCAGGGAATGGTTTGGAATCTCCAGACTAAACACCGCTTGGAACCAAACCAAGACAGGACAGCCCGGAACCTGACACCAGCCAGCGCATAGCCAACCCTGAGTTTATCCAAGTTCAACCCCAAAATATCCCTAAATAATGGCCAAGCCTCATGGCGAGCAAAAAGCCAACCACCAACCTTGACAAAGCCCTGTAACAGTCTAACACCCAATGTCAACCTCAGAATACTCCGGAGGACTGGACTACAAGGTGGCTCGCTTTAGCGGGGAATCAAACCACTTCAGGCCAGATTTGTCCGAGGTTGACGTTTTGCTGCCCCATTCCCGTTCCCAAAACAACGCACCAGCCAAACAAACAAAACCAACCCACACCAAACTAAACCAAACTAAACCAAAACAAAGTAGACCAGACCAAACCAAACCAAACCATCCAACCAAGCGCTCTTGGTAAGCTGTCAGCTACTAGGGAAACAAACAACGCTATCTCGCTCAAGGCATTCAAAGAGGAAACGTTTCCCCTAAGGCGTTACTCCGGATGGATGTGGAAGCCCTAAGATTGCTCCACTTTCCATGCGGCTTCCCCTTGAAACAGGCTCTTACCTTTGATTTCCCAAGAAAGCGCGTCAACACCTGGAAAGTCTGTCGCTCATCTCGAGTGTCAGACTCAGGAAATTCAGATCTTGAGCGAGGGCTGAAAGTAATGCATGCTTTCAGGTTGAGAATTGGGACGTATTGGGAAACCGGGTAAGTTGTTTCTTTCCGGGCCCACATGATCACCTATCAAAAGATTCTCTCTCCTAGGGCTGAATTCACCTGTGGATTCCCCATTCGAAAGTGCTGACAGAGTGCTAAACGAGTGCAACAATTGGCGGAAATCATAGTTGGGGCATGTAAATGTTGTCAAGATTTGTGGGACGCTTTAGCGGACATCATTGAAGAGCATTGGGTTTACGTCTTGGGAGCCCCTTTGAACCTCCTAGGCTAGCGAATCCCCCCAAACTGGGTGGCTGCTGCGTCCCTTGAACCACCCCCAGAAACGGTACACAATCCAAAACATGCCGAAGAGGGTACCAGCCCCCAAAAAGGACACACCCATATTAGGCCAAAAAAGCCAACGGGTGGAATCGCACCACCTTCAGCGCAAGCGGGTCCCAGGTGCATGTCGTCGTGATTTCGGTAGGTGTTGGTGTAGCAGGGGCCAGGGAAAGCATACCTAGGGTTGCTCCGACCCGGGAAACGAACCAGTTGTCTAACCAAGGGTGCGAGTAGATGGTAATTATCTTAAGCAATTGCTAATGGATGACAAACAGTCTTTGCACTTTTGGGCTTCGGAACCTTACGATTGAAGCTTCTGATCGAAGGGGCTTTCTGGCCACATTGACAAACTTATTACTACAATTCATGAACTGAAAATACGGTAATCCCCAAGAAAGCCTCCTTTACCCCTGGATGAGCGTGTTGTAATGTGCCCAGATAGCTTTGAGGGAAGCCTCCCCTATTTGCCTGGGCGGTTGATCGAAGGGGTTCTGTTTGAAGGGCTTTCACATGCTTTTAGCGGAGCCCTTCAAGTGAACAGTTTTTGAAGAGTTCTGAAGATTTCGTTTGGCGGTGGTTTCATTTCCCTTTGAAAGATCATTCAGAGGTGAATTCTAACCCACCAACCCAACAAAGTGTCCATGGAAGGAAACTCCAGGTGACGCACACCGGACTTGGCCTGGGTGATTTGCTGCATGGAATTTGATTGTGTTCATTGGATTCCACCCCCTCCCGTCCTGTAACCCCGTTTCTTTATTCAAGGCCTCTACAATACAGCTTTCTTGGGGTCAAAGGGAGTTGGAATCCTATGATGCGTGTGGAATTGGCTACCACTCTTTGAGAACCGTCGTCATTAAAGGGAGGTCTGCTTGACAAGTGAGCAATGGTCAAATATGCGGTTCGCCTAAACGATATGGCAAGATTGGTGTGGTTGAAGTTGAGCGGTTCGTGTCTCTACTTTTGCTACCGCCACTTGCCACCCAGTCACCATGCCGTTTCTCTTTTCAGGTTTCCAGGGCAACGTCCGCATGGAAGTGGACAAGTGCAACATTGGACTAAATCCCAAGGTTGCATGCGGCACAAGGAGTGGTAACATTTATCTTTTGCACCAACATTTCTAACTTACATGATTTGGGCGATTCTAGAATAAGCTTAGTCCAAATCTGAACCAAGTTGCCAAGGACATCCGAACGGATCCTTCATGGGTCATGGGCTCAATGTAGCCTCTGTTTGCTCACCGAAAATATGGGCAGATGATCCAAACGAAGTTCGGCTGCTGTTGGATGCTTTGAATGTGACACCTATCGCACACCTAAAGCTAATCGAAGGGGGTCCAGCTAATTTTGAGCAAACATCCCTTCCTACAGAGCCCGAAGCGCTTTGGAGGCCCCGGTAAAGACGGGCAAAGGAAGCAGTGGAACAAAGCACATCTATCCTGATAAAGAAACCTGACTTTCATGTCTACCCCAATAGTTGCATTTGTGATTTAACTTATTGGTGACCCTTTGTTGAGCATCTTCGGGATTCATGTCTAACACTGTTTCCGAGGGTGCTCCGAAAAATCATAGCTTAGTGAGAGCTGCGGAGCCCTGGTCCAGATTGCCCTTTTTCCCAGCCATTGCGAGGAAGCATCACACAGGATTCAATGGCGCCTCCAGGAAGAATGGAATGCGCGCTTCTCTACCATGAGATCTCTATGAGTGGTTGGCTTCATCTTGGCTTCCCTTAGACACCGCAATACCCCCCCTCCCCCAAATTCTCGGACCTCTCCTGTCATTGCCAGCGAAGGAACCAAACTGGCTCAGTTGTTCTTTGTTCCGGCTGTTTTTGCATCTGCTTTGCTCTGGAAGATGGCCCGACATCCGGAACCCAGTTGTCCAGTAACCCCTGCAGAAAAAGTGAACAATTGAAGCCAGAAGCGAATGTAAGGGTGCCACGAATAACAGGGATAATTAACACATGTGGGTGCTTCTGCCACATTAAGGGGCTCCCACCAATTTGCGGCTTCACCGTCTTCACCCTTTGCCAAAACACGCATAGCATACGAGGCGGGGGGCGGGGGGGGACGGGGGGGCGAGGGGGGGAAAAACCATTTTGGGAGAATCCTTGGATGAATATGGTCTGGATCTGACGTGGCCATACATTCCAACACAAAAACGATTATCCATCTTGCTCCTTCTGGGGTATCCCCCCCCCCCACACAAAAAAAGTATCCTTTCTGAAAAGTTGTAGAGATGCAATCCCGACCATAGGGGAAACAAGGGTAACTTTGTATGGGTTGTTTGATTGACGGCCAAACCACCTCCAGAAAGTAGGGACACAAGTGCAACCACTGGACGTTTGGTGGCGGTTTGCCCTTCGAAACATCCTTTTTGTTGGGGCAAACAGGACGATCCGCGAACCCACGCCAATTTCCGAAGAGTGGCCATGTGGGATCGCCGTAGTACTTGGCATCCTTGAACTGGTTCGTGGGGAAGTTGTAGACCAGGTTGCAGCCCACAAAGTACCCGTACCTCCCAAGTCCCAAGGTACACCGAACAAAAAATCGACACTTGAAGAAACCAAAGCAGCCCCTTGACTTCGATCCCAGGGTTCAGGGTACCCAAGCAACATATGTTCAGATTCTGTTTCACATTGTCTCTACTTTCAAACTTACAAAGGGGTGCCCGGGGGTTACGTGAACATTCCGTTGAACCGCGGTAGAGTTGACATGGGTTTACATATAGGCTCATCAGTGCAAACATCATTTCGATTTTGGTTCATCCCACAAAAGAAGCATTGGGAAAATCGGAAAGCAGAACCCACAGCCTGTTCTTAGTTTCTGTCTTTCTGCCTTTCTCTCTTGCTCTCACTCTCGCTTCTTTTTTTTTTCTCTCTCTCTCTCTCTCCCTCTTTCTGTCTCTCTGTTTATCCCTATCCCGTTGACGGTAAAACTGAAAACGGCAAAACAAAAAAGCCATGTTAAAATCCCACCAAAAGGGAACGTAGAATCACTCTTGTTCTACCCAATGGTGGTTTGGTCATTGTTTGAGGTTCGGAGCATGGGTTGTTAACCCCTTTTACAGCCTTACTTCTGATCATGCGATCGTGCCATCGGTTTGGCACGTGCAAGACCTGCCCTACTAGTATACATACCCCCAAACAGGGAAATATAAGAGCCCAGGTCCTGGTTTTGAGGTTCGCACCTCCTTTTGAACCTGCCTCTTCTTGGCTTTGGGGTCAGGGCTTCGGTTTATCACAATTGCGCAGGCTGATTGACCACGGGTGTACCTAAGGCAGGCTGTTTTGGAAATTGACTGTTGAGGCAGGCTGACAAGCACTTTTTTGGATGCTTGTGTTTGAGGCAGGATGAAAGCGCACAAGACCCCGGGGGCAGGCTTGAACGGATAAGCCTTTACTGTCCGTTTGCGGGCAGGCTGAAGTGGATACGCCTTCACTGTGTGAAACCTGAAGCCTTTCCAGGGATCAAGCTGCCAATCGCCTCTCTCTGCCATCCCTTCCAAAAATATGCCACCTTAGACAGGCCGACTTAGACACCCTGCAAGTGAACTTGTTGCTGGTATTAAGATAAAATGGAGAAAACCCAAAAGGGCAAAACCGGTTTGGCAACAGTCTGGCCATGTTTAGTTCACGACAGGCTGCTTCCCGTAGTCGGAGGAGCAATCTCCAGGGCCAGTGCATTTGCCGCTGTCGAAGGCGTAGCGCACTCCAAAGTTCATGCCTGGCTGGTTCTATAAATCGTTGCCTTGTGGGTAGAGAGAACCTGACTTCACTTGTAGAGAGAACCTGACATCTCAACAAAGACAAACAGGCAGCTCAGGTGGCAACAACTGCGTTTTGTGTCCACAAGAGATGTTGAACTTCTGATTCTTCAAGAAGCCCAAGGAAAATGGCTGATAAAGCAGTCATGGGTGGGAATCCAACTTGGCATCACACATTTTGAGTGGTTCTCGCTAGCCATGATCAGAAGACAAGACCAGCAGGAATGTGGGAATGAGGTGAACCTGTACCATCCAACTCGTGGTTTCCTTTTAAGGGGATCCCCTTGCGGTTCATTCCCAAATGCCTTTTGGTGCATTCCGTATTGAGCAGCAGCAAGACAATCTGTAGATTTGATGATTTCCTTTCAAACCAACCCAAGGAGAGAACCATCCCGATTTTTGATTCCCTGGGTTTTGTGTGCTGTTTTCGCAATTCAGAACCACCCAGTTTGGGGTGTTCCATTTGGAGACTACTTCTACCGATCAAACTTGAGGACTTCACCCCACTGTAGTTGTCAACCAAGAGAAACCATCACGTACAAAGAAGTAAGAATCCTGGTCTGGTGTAAGGGGAACTGGATCCACATGGCAATGGTAAATGTGAGGGAACCTTTTCGGGCTTGGCCAGGGACACCAAAAAGGAGACCACCCATATCAAAATGCATATACATACATTAATTCACGTGTGTATGTGTATGTATATATATATACATATACATATTATGTACATTGCATATACCCAAATGGGCACGTACTCTTTGGAGATTCTATGTTCTTCTTGGGGATTGTGAATGAGAAGCAGCTGAACAAGGTACAACAAAGGTGGATAAGTTCAAATTTATCATATGACTGGCCCAAACCTAGTTGGAGGAGTATCTAGCTGAAGTCGAGTTATGGGGTTTGGCAGCCACATCTACTCAAATGTCTCATGGGGCGGCTTCTCAGGCATGCCTTGACAGACTCAAACCAGAAGCAAGGGCGTGAACTACATTGACTATTGGCAGTTTCCCCAAGTCGGACAATCGAGCGGGTCGGATAGAATTTCTACAAAACTTGGGTGAGCATCCATGTCCTTCCAGAACAGAAACCATGCTACCAAACATGTCGTCAGTTGCTCACAGACTGAGCAACCGCCCGACCGCAAATCATTTCGGCCACCAGAGCAGCGCCCAGAACCAGCTTCTGGCTTTCACTAGGCCATAGGTAGCAAACCCACCTACTGATGCAAAAGATCCGCAAAATACGCCAGATGGGATTGGTGAGTTATCAGCCAGAGTTGCAAGTAAACCAACGTCAAAACCATTGGAGGACCTACCGGGAAAGCACTACACATATCTCCAGTGACAGATTTCCTTTAAATGAACAGGAGAAAACACACAAAAAGTGATAAGCCAATGGAAGCGGGGGATGGTTTTGTCCAGCGCTGTCGAGCAGCCCTTCTCGTGCAAAGGCTCCGGTGCTTTGTACTGCACCTTGAAACCTCAGCCAGAAGACCCCGACCGAGAGTTGCGGAAAGTGTGAAGACGTGTTGCCGGCTGAAAGGGAACAACACAAAGAAGGCCAAAAGTCCAAAAGGTAAGCCAAACAAGTAAGAAATAGTGAAACAACACAACAGGAAAAAGGACGTTTTGCTTCAGCTTCTCTCTAATTGGTGGTTTGGATTAGTGGTTTGGACGTGTTCCGGGTGGTTTCCCATTAACCCTCTGCATGAACCAAGGGTTCAAATTCCGAAACCACCACAACAAACCGCCGAATTGCGGGCTGAAAGGGAAAATTACAAAATGGCCAAAGCAAACAGTGAAAAGGCAAGCTGAGCGTGGCAATGTTTTCAGGCACCAGAGGTGGCAGAAAGGTTAACCAAAAGGCAAACAGGTTGTGCGGCAATTATTTATCAAGCTAAGCTAAGTCAGGCAATGGAACGCACAATGCGGGTGATGCCGAACTTCCGAGGAGTCCAAATGATCACCTGGGCAGCACGCGCGGCTTGGCTCGAAATGGACAGCCAGGATGGTTCCCTTTGGTTTCCCGTTGGCTTCCTCTTGGTTTCCCTTGTAAAACACATGAAAAACAAACAGCACACACCCACGGCAGCCTTTTGGACGTTTTGCCTCTGAGAATCCGCTTTTGCAAGAGAATTCCAACCCATTACCTGCATGCGTGTCATGTACGATTGCGCAATGAAAATGCAATACTCGTTCACGACAGCTCACAAACATGAACAAAATGGGGGAGGGCCAGAAAGCAGGGATATCTTCAAAAGGTTGGCTTTCTCTTCTTTTTTTTTACCTGGAGCAACCGCTGAATCCAAACCAGCAGCACACTGCA